TCAAATTTTCCTCCACACAGTCACTAGGGGGCCCTGGAAAGAGCTTGTGTGAAAATGCAAATTCCACTTGTGTCTGGGGCTACCAGCAGTTTTATGTTATGCTGGTCCACACAAAGTCTGTGGCTGTTTTTTTAAAATTTCAGATAATTCCTTCTTACTGCCCAGTCTGATGTTTCTGTCTTCCTCCTGCTTCTGCCATGGACAAGACTGTTCATAATTTTCTCTCCTGCAGTGAGTGGCATGCCCCTATTTGAATTGCCGAGCTACTTGGTTACTAGATGACATCCGTTTTTTTTTTTTTTTTTCATATGTTCAAAAAGTTTTATGATTTTTTAGTTTATCTGGCTTCTTGTATTATTAGATGAGAACAGTTGTCTTTTCAGCTCTCCAAATCTTATGTGTAAGAACCCTCATTCATTTTTTTTGGGTGGTGGGGAAATAGTTTGCCACCTGGAAGCAAACTTTCTCACTTATACCTATGAATACTTTCATTACATTTATTTGGATATAATATTTTTAAGATTCATGTATTTATTTGAAAAGTAGAGTCAGAGAGAGGTGGAAGCAGAGAGAGAGGAGAGAAATCTTCCATCTGCTGGTTCACTCCCCAAATGGCCACAAGGGCTAGAATTGTTCTGATCCAAAGCCAGGAGCCAGGACCTTCTTCTGGGTCTCCCACGCTGGTGCAGGGCCCAAAGACTTGGGCCGTCTTCTACTGCTTTCCCAGGCCATAGCAGAGAGCAGGATGAGGAGTGGAGCAGCCAGGACTTGATCTGGCACTCATATGGGATGCAGGCGCTGCAGGCAGTGGCTTTACCCGCTGTGTCAAAGCGCCAATACACACCTCATTCATTTTCTTTTTTTTTAAGATTTACATATTTATTTATTTGAAAGAGTTACACGGGGGGCGGGGGGAGAGGTCTTCTATCCGATGCTTCACTCCCCAATGGCTGCAATGGATGGAGCTGCGCCAATATGAAGGCAGGAGCCAGGAGCTTCTTCCAGGTCTCCCACGAGAGTGCAGGGCCCAAGGAGTTGGTCCATCTTCTACTGCTTTCCCAGGCCATAGCAGAGAGCTGGATCAGAAGTGGAGCAGCTGTGACTCGAACCAGCGCACATATGGGATGTCGGCACTTCAGGCCAGGGTGTTAACCTGCTGTGCCACAGCGCTGGCCCACACCTCATTCATTTTCATTATGAGATTTAGAGGAATTGTGTTTAGTTGCAAAAATTATTATATTTTATGGTAGCCTTGAAATTTTGTAAGTTGACTGAAGAGAGTTAACATATCCTGATGTGAACTCTTTCTATTTACATCTTATGATGTAAAGTTTCAAAAATAAGTCCAAATCTTTTTGCAACCTTTTGTTGCATTTAAATTTTTCATCATGTACATCTTCTATGTTTCTTAAGTTTATTTATCCAAATCTTAAATTTATTTTTCTTTTATTTCAAGTGGATAATGTCTTCCAACTGGTAGTTACTTCTTGTGAAGATTACTGATTTGTATACATGCATATTTCACTTTGTATTTAGCCTTATTAAATTCTTGTTGTTTATAATGTTTTTCAGCTGATTCTTTTTCCCCTGAAAGATATCACATATTCTAGACATATTGGGAGTATAATCTGCCTGTTTCAATTTTCATATTCCTTTGTCCTCTGATCTAATTGCAATGACTAAAATATCCAGAAGAAATTAGTTATAATGGCAATAAAGGGCATATTTGTCTTATTTTTTATTTCAATATCTATGGAAATTTTTTTATTCTTTTTTTATTTAATTGAAAGATAGAGTTAGACAGTGAGAGAGACAGAGAGAAAGGTCTTCCTTCCATTGGTTCACCCCCAAAATGGCCGCCACGGCCGGAGCTACACCCATCCGAAGCCAAGAGCCAGGTGCCTCCTCCTGGTCGCCCATGCGGGTGCAAGGGTCCAAGAACTTAGGCCATCTTCCACTGCCTTCCTGGGCCACAGCAGAGAGCTGGACTGGAAGAGGAGCAACCAGGTCTAGAACCTGGTGCCCATATGGGATGCCAGCGCAGGGGGCAGAGGATTAACCAAGTGAGCCAAGGCGCCGGTCCCTCTAAGGAAATTATTATTTAATTTTCCTTCATTGACTCTCTTGATATTTAAAGTTATATAAATATAAACTATAACCTTTAACATCCTAGAATTCTTAAAATAAATTACAATTCTCATGATATACTGTTATTTAAATATGTTCTTGGATTCTGTTTACTTTTATTCTTCCTTTCATAATCTTGAATGAGAATGATTTCTACAGAGTTTTCCTGTCCTGTCCTTGTTCTTGGGTTCCAGATCCACATTACATTCATTTCCAAAAGGGTGTTTGAGTTCTCTCTAGTGTTAGAATTCACTGTACAATAGCTTGAAGTTTTGACTTTGGGGAATAGTAGCCTCACTGTGTCATTGACTAGGTTACTCTTAGTCTGTAAGTATTGTGTATTCTTTCTGAGTTTAATTTTAATTTTAAAATTAAAGAGTAGAGCAAAAGACTATCCTGTTACTCTGTTAATTTATTTTATATCCATAATTATTTTCCCAAAAACATTTCAGCTTTTTGTGTTTGTACTTTTTGTTTCTTTTCTGGATTCACTGTGTTTTAAGAAAATAATTCTTACTTTTAAAATTATATTCTTAAAAAGTTTGTATATTGATTAGCTTCATCTATTTACTTCGAAAGATTGTTTTTATAACTTTATTACATGCTTTATTTACTTTACAATTTTGCATATGAATGTGGTATTTATAGCTATGAGTATTCTTCTGAGTCATGCTTCAGCTGTATTACATGTTTGTTAAAACCTACTAAAGTATAAACTTGTATTTTTTCAGAAATTATTTTTATGACAAGTAAACATTTTATTGAAAAAAATTAGCGTTAAAGTGCTTTAATCACTTTAGAGACACCATATATAATTGCTAAATTAAAATAATCTGTCTAATATGACAAGACACTAAATATACACAGGGGAAATGGGTTTTTCTTTCTTTTGAAAGAAGGCAGCACTTTTCTTGAAAGGAACATCAATATAGAAATGAGTCAATCAAAAGTTCTAAACTTGATTCATTTCCCCTTGCTATTAGCTGATTTAAATACCCATAGATTGAAACACTGACTTCTGTTCCAATCAATCACTTAAAAATTTGGAAAACACAAGCGGTTTGTTCCTGTTCCAGTCTACAGGTATCTGTCAGCTTGACAATGACGTGCCCTGCTGTGCTTTACTTGGAAGCTAGGCATGTCTACAGATTCATAACAGGTAGTTAAATGATTTCATGGGAGCTCTGATGACAATGGGAAAACAAGTCCATTTTTCATGACAGATGCTCTCTTTATTCACCTTGGTGATAATTCGAGGATCAAGAAAATAAATTTTAACATTCTCAGTTGGATGCTTCGTTTATGATTTGAATGTGTAACAAACTTGACATTAGAACTGACAAGCAGAGGGAGAGTGAGCCCACTGACAACTGTTGTCTTTTGGGTGAATGTGATTATTGTGACATTTCCACCTACAGTTTCAGTGAATGTATGCCAGAATTTTGTTCATCTATGCATTCCTACTATGTTTCTCCTCTTTGTTTACTCCATGTCTGACCCCCATATGGGGATCTGGATAATAACAATGACAGAAGCTAATGTACAGAGTATTTGCCATGTACAGCTTTTTGAAGTGTTTTACATCTCTAACTCATTTAATCCTCACAGCAAACACGTGTGTTAGGTACTACTAATTTAGTAATGCCTTCCTAACCATGTTTAGTCCCTAATCCCTGGAACCTTTGAATTTCTTATGTTACTGGCAAGAGGAAATTAAAAAATTGATTCTTAACTAGATAGGTTATCGAGAACTATCCAAGTGGACTCAGTATAATCACAAGGTTTAATTTATTTTTTAAGATTTTTATTTATTTACTTGAGTTACACAGAGAAAGGAGAGGCAGAGAGAGAGTTCTTCCATCCATTGGTTCACTCCCCAAATGGCCACAACAGCCTGAGTTATGCCAATCCAAAGCTGGGAGCCAGGAGCTTCTTCCTGGTCTCCCATGTGAGTGCAGGGGCCCAAGGACTTGGGCCATTTCCTGCTGCTTTCTCAGGCCATAGCAGAGAGCTGGATCAGAAGAGGAGCAACTGGGACTCAATCCAGTGCCCATATGGGACGCTGGCACTGCAGGCAGCGGCTTTACCTGCTATTCCACAGTGCTGGCCCCAATCACAAGGTTTTTAAATGTGACAGTTTTGAGAAAGAGAGAGAGAGAGAGAGAGAGAGAGAGAGAGAGAGAGAGAGAGAGAGATTTGAAAGAAATGCACTATATACTCTGCAAATGGAAGAAAACATGCCAGGTAAAGAATGCAGGGCAGCTTCTACAAACTGCAAAGGCAAAGAAACATGTTCTCCTCTGAATCTGTTGCTATTGTTGTAACACAATTCCTCAGACTGGGTAATTTATAAACAACAGAAATTTATTTCTCACACATCTGGAGGCTGGGAAGAACAAATTCAAGACACTGGCAGATTGTGTTTCTGGTGAGGGCCCATTCCTCACAGGTGGCACTCTCATGGTATCACATGGCTAAAGAGGGGGAAGTACCAAAACTAGGCACTCTGATGCCTCTCTTACAAGAGTGCTAATCCCATTCATGAGGACAACCCTCAAGACCTCTTCACTTCCCAAATGGGCTCACCTCTTACAACCTTCAACCTATGATTTAAACTCTAGCATACGGATTTTGGAGGGACACAGGTATTCAAACCAAGGCACTAAGGTTAGCCCAGTAATAGCCATTTAGACTTCTAAACTCCAGGTTCACATAATGAATTTATATTATTATAAACTACTGAGTTTAAGGTAACAATTTACAGCAGTAATAGTAACCTAAGGCTGTGATATTCCTTCTTTGACAGTCTTGGAAAAATAAACAGGTTGATTAATGTAAATTGTTCCAGAAAATTTAGCTGTTCACAGGCAGATCTGGGGATTAAATCTGAGTGATGTGGCTCTACAGACTATATTATTGTTGTTTTTTGAAGTGAGATTTCTTAAAATATCAATTATTTACAGCAAAACCCTTCTTATTGTGATAAATGCATATGGCCATATAACCAAAATCAAAATGAAGTGATAAAATAGTTCCATTAGCATGAAACGTTCTCTTGTATTTCCTTCGTAGTCAGAAATTCTCACCACCCAAATGTCGGGAAACCACTGACCTATTCTTTTATTTGTTTGTTTCCACAATTTTGTCTTTTGCAGATTGTTGCATACATGGGAAAACAGTTGTATGAATGGCAGGTGATTCATCTCCACACACAGAAATAAAGAGTTTGACATTTGACAAAGTTTTCAAAACTAATTACTAATGGGTACACTGCTGGGTACAATGAATTGACCAAATGTACACAACAATTTGAAAAGTGTTAATTCCTAAAAACTGGTAAGAGTTTTGAAACAGTGTTGTGTCTGTTCATCTCCTTGGGACTGTTCTCATCCCCATGCGTACTCAGATGGCAAGAACCCTGGTTTCACAAATTGTGGGTGGCTGCAAAAACCAATGGCTTTGCTATCAAAGTGGGCAGAACTGACTCAATGCAGGAGAGGAGTCAAAAACCCTAAGTTCTGCTGATTAAAAGTAGTATTAGATACAGTTGGTAGTGAGCAGTAAATACCTTCCAGCCAGCAATTTTATGGGGAGATTCTGAAAAGGGGGTGGCAGAGAAGGATTTAGATTAGCGCTCCACAACCACTGGCTACCTCAGAGAGAAATTGTGAATGTGCAGGAGAGATCAAACAAACCACCATAAGACTGCCCAGGGAAATCTGAGAACATTCTGCAATCCTGAGCTTTCCCAGCTGCATACAGATGGATCAGCAGGGAGTGGTAGCTCTGTGTGCTAGAGGTATTTAAGCACCTCTGTCCTAATCCTTAGTTAACCTGGTAAATAAACAGGAACCAGGGTTGAGTATGTAAGGTGGCAGAATATATAATCTAATATGTATAGCTTTGAAAGAAAAATTATCACATGCAGAAGATAGTAAAATTTTCCTCATATCCAAAGAAACAATCAATAGTAATTAATTATGTGGGTTCCAATTTAGCCATGAGTGATATTTAACCAGTATAAATAAGTTCAAATGAGTAAAGGAAACACTGAATAGTTCATGTAAATTAGGATGACAATGAGTTAATAAGCAAGAAATCTCAGTATAGAAATGCATACCATTTGAAAAGAAATTAACAGTAACTCTAGAATTAAAAATTACATTTATTAAGCCAGGTTGAAGCTAGAAACACTGAACTCAATCTATGTCTCCCATTTGTTGCTGGTATTTGGGGAATGAATCAGCAGATAGAAATTCCCTCTTCTCTGTCTCTCCATCTTTCTACCTTTTAAATAAATAAAATTTTAAACATTAAAATAACTTGAATGAAGGACTCAACAACAGATTTGAAATGTCAGAAGAAAGAATCACTGAGTGTGAGGTTCTAGGGAGGTCCTGCTCTTGCGTTACACTGGCCCTCATCTCATGTACTTATAGGATAGAGCACTTACAGGGGCCTTTGTGTAAGGGCACTAATTCCATGAATCAAATGCTGCCATTATGACCTCATCATGTCCTAGGGGCCTGAAATACTAATGCATCACATTAAGGGTCAAGAATTTTTGAATTTTGGGGGACACAAACATTGAGTCTGTTACACAGAGGAACCACATGATAAATGACTAATTTTTTACAATGAGTATAGAAGGCATTATGGAATGACTTATTCAATGTCTCAAAGAAAAATAAAGCAAATCAATTAAGAATTAAATGATACGTATGAATATATATGAATACATATATAACTAAAAACCAAAAAAGCAATATTATTGACTAAAATGTTTATCACAAAGGATGGCAGTAAAAGAGGAATAATAAGGACATTAGATATAGAAAACAATTTCAAAATGCAAATTCAATCATAACTATAATTACTTTAAATATAGACATAATAAACATTCCAACTAAAAGAGAAAAGGAAGATCTACCTCTATGGTTTTTTTTGTTTTTTTTTTTTTTTTTTGTTTTTTTTTTGTTTTTTACAGGCAGAGTGGACAGTGAGAGAGAGAGACAGAGAGAAAGGTCTTCCTTTGCCATTGGTTCACCCTCCAATGGCCACAGTGGCTGCTGCGCTGTGGCTGGCACATCACGCTGATCCGAACCTGGGAGCCAGGTACTTATCCTGGTCTCCCATGCAGTTGCAGGGCCCAAGCACTTGGGCCATCCTCCACTGCCTTCCTGGGCCACAGCAGAGAGCTGGCCTGGAAGAGGGGCAACCGGGAAAGAATCTGGCGCCCCGACCGGGACTAGAACCTGGTGTGCTGGTGCAGCTAGGTGGAGGATTAGCCTATTGAGCCGTGGCGCAAGCCGAGAAAAGGAAGATCTACCTCTATGCTTTCTATAAGAGAAATACTTTACATTCAAAAATGTAAATAGGTTGGCAGTAAAAGGATGGGAAAAGGTATATACCATTCAAACAGCAGCCATGACAAAGCTGGAGTAGCCTCAATAATACCAGAGAAAGTAGACTTTAAGCCAAGAAATAGTACTAGATGCAAAAAGAGGATTTTCCTGATGATGAAATGCCCAATGTTTCAGGAATATTCAGCAATTATAAATTTATAGGTAGCTTTATAAAGCAGACTCTCTAAGTAAATTAAATAAAAACCTATAAAAGAAATAGACAAGTAAACTGAGACTTCAGTACTTTTTCCTCCACTGAAAAGGCAGCTAAAACAAAAACCAGTAACAGTACAGAAAACTAATTAAAAAAAAACCTATCATTCAATTTGACCTGACATATAGAGAACACTTTACTCAGTAATAGCAGAATTCACTCTCTTTTCAGTGCACATGCATCATTCTCCAGGATAGATCCTATGATGGGACACAAAACAAGGTGCCATAACATGAAATGGATTGAAATCAAACTAAGTATTCTCTCCAACCATAAAATATTATGCTTGCAATAAACAGTAGAAAGAAATCTGTTCTCAGAGGTAAATTTATAATTTTAAGCATTTATAGTAGAAAGGAAGAAGGATCAAAAATCAATAAGCTCAGCTTCTACCTTAAGAGCTGGGAAAATAAGATCAGTTAATGCAATAACAAGAAAGAGGGTGGAAATAATAAAATCAGCATGGAAATCAAAGAAATAGAAAAGAGAAAAAGAGAAAAATCAATGAAACCATAAGTTAGTTCTTTATAACTATTAAAACAGTTGATGTTCAGCTAAACTGATAGAACAAAAGAAAGATAAAAGCTGAAACAGAAAAAGAGCCAACAATCAATATGTTGACTCTGAACTTACTTCTGCTCGATATAGAAATATAGCTAGTGGAACTCCTGAGATAAATTCGGAAATGCAAGATCAAGGGCAACCAGGATCTCTCATTTTATTTGAAACACTAGGTGATATTTTCTGCTTTCTGGTGACATGGATGCAGCTGACAGGAGAGGGCCTGAGGAAATCCCAGCTTCCTGCAATAATGAAGAGTTTTAGGAAGTATCCCACGTTCTCCATGCCCCTAAGAAAAGTTGAGAACTTAGCTAAGAACCAATTGGCAAGAGGGCCCTTTACTGTTTGACAAGGGAATTAAGAGGACTGCTTTTCCTTTGAGAAAGACATTGTCTACATATTTTAATTGAAAGAGGGTAAAGACAGACATTGTATGTTAATGGATCAAATTGTACTTATTTTACAGGGAGTGCTGCCATGTCACAAGAGGGATATTTAACATTAAGGAAATGGATTGGAGCACAGACTCCTGTGTCCTGATCATGAGGCCTTGGCAAAGCCACCTGACCTCTGTGAGTTTATTTATCTGTACGAGAAGGTTAACCACTATCCAGTTTTCTCTGGTTCTACAAAACAAAGTTGTTATTCTGATGTTTATAGAACATAAGATATGAAAATGGTGATTTGGAAATGATCTTAAGGCCTGCACAAATTATTTATCTCCCTGTATTCACTATTGTCCACTGTAGATAAGGGATCTTTGTAATTTTTCAATTTCATTTTTATTTTTATTCTAGTTTGTAAATTTTGACATATTCTAATATTTTACATAAATTTACTATTTTACAGAGTATTTATAAAAACAAAAAACCTGGGAATTATTTCCCTTGTGATATCCCATCCAGTTTTTTTTCTCACAAGTTTCTACTATATCTAGCATATGAGAGTAAGTTCACTCATTTCTGAAATGTGTACCTGGGTCTTTCCACAATTGCACTGCTGATTTCTTCTCCACTCCATGCCCTAAATCCACTTTCACATAATTCATACTAAAATAGAAAAACTTAGAATGGCTTCAAGTGAGAGCTTTCTTAGGAATGTGATGGGATGGTCAGAAGTATTGGTATTTGTAGAAATACAAGTTTTTATGTGGACTTTATGCAATCTACAAATATCCTGATTCAGTAATTCTGGAGTGAGTCTTGGACATCTGTATTGCTAAATAGAATATTTTAAAGCAATGAAGAATACCTTTGTTTAGAAACTCTGACCTGAGGGATAAAGCATTCTGGAATGTCAGGAAACAGCAAATGTGAGAGATCTGGAAGCACATTCTGACTTGCCCGGTGTCTTACACTCACAGATAACCATCTGCTGCATTAAACTGGTAGTTAAGCACAGAGAATTTAGACATCTGATGGCTCTGAAATAACAGGGACTTTTTATCATTAGTTTGATCCTAAAATATGGAAGCACAGTCTAACTAATGTTAATGTTTATCCTTTGTTCTTTATCTTTAGATTTGTATATTTGTTTATCCCAGTAAAATTACGAATGGTGATAAGCAGTCCATTATTTATGAAATATACCAACAGGTAAACTCTTGTTCCCTCACTTATTGAATTATGCTCTAAACTTTTTGTTATTTCTTCTTCAGAACTTAGATATGGCAGATATGTCAAGAATTATTAAGGTGTTTATATTTAAAACAATTTTGTGTTCATACAATGTCTTTTTTAAATTTATATTTGAAGAATACAAATTTCATAAATACAACATTAGGAATATAGTTATTCTTCCCACCATACCCACCCTCCCACTCACACTCCCACCTCTCCTCCTCCTCTCTCTTCCCTTCCTAGTCCCTTCTCCATTAAGATTAATTTTCAATTAACTTGGTACACAGAAGACCAACTCTACACTAAGTAAAGATTCCAACAATTCACACACACAAGCACACACACACAAAACTATTTGAGAACTAGCTTTGCAGTTAACTCTCATAATACAATTCATTGAAGACAGAGGTCCTACATGGGAAGTACGTGATAATGACACCTGTTGTTAATTTAATAATTAACACTTTTATGTATGATGCCAGTGACCACCTGAAGCTCTTGCCATGAGCTCCCTAGGCTATGGAAGTCTTTTGAATCCACAAACTCTGCCAGTATTTGGACAAGGCCATAAACAAATTGGAAGGTCTCTCCTCACTTCGGAGAAAAGTACATCCCTTTTTGACATCCAATCCTTTCCTCTGGGATCTCTCTCACAGAGTTCCTTCATGTAGAACATTTTTTTTTTTGCCACAGTGTCTTGGCTGTCCATCCCTGAAATGCTCTCATGGGCTTTTCAGCCAGACAGGAAGCCTTAAGGGCTGATTATGAGGTCAGAGTGTTACGTAAAGTGGTTGCATTCTATGAGTCTACTGTGTGGGCTGCTTACTATGTTGGAACATTCTCATATAATGTCTTTATACAAACTCACATTTTGTTTCTGAAGAAATAAAATTTTGTAAATAATAACACATTTGATTTATTGTAAAGTATTTTAATTTCCTATAAGACATGACAATAACATTTTGGAAATGGTTATCATAAGTTATTTATAATTGTACCATGCATATTAGCAGCTAAATATATCATATTTAACAATATATTAATGATACAATATTCATATTATAATGAAAGTTCTGGGCTCTTGACAACTAGTTCTACTAGCCCTGTGGATAGATTACTTAAAAGAGCATTTGCTTCAAGTTAAAAGAAAGATAATGCTTTTTAAGTTTGTGCATGATTCTGATCCACATCCAGCATTGGAAAGTCTAATATTTGGAACACATTACAAATCTTAGTGATTTTTGTCTTCACCAATACATTTAATGGTCAGTTATCCTTTATAAAATACACACTTATTAGCTGGCTTCTAATTACCAGGCATAATGCCAGGCATTTTCTCATCTATTACTTTAATAAGTTCATGTCAACAATACAAGTTATTATACTAAACCACCACCACCACCACATCAGCAAAACAAAATAAAAGATAGTCATTCTGCATTGAAAGGAATGCAACATGGTATCACTATACATAAGTCAAGCATAGGAAATAGTTTTAACAGCCACTGTTTTAAAAGTAAACAGGTCTCACTGCATTTCTTTTTTGAAAATATAGCCAAAATTGTTTTGTTGTTGATTTGTTCAGGAAACAGTGAGGAAAAGGGGTGAAAAGAGGGCAGAATTTATTTTATTTTCTTATTATAGAGCTTCTAATCTATGCTGAGGCCAATAACTTAAATAAATAACTTAAAATAACAGAAATAACTTAAAATAGCCACACTCTATTGGAAGAGATTGTGAAGTACATTATCCACAAGCTTTGCAATGTTAAGAGGATATGGGGTCCCATTCCTGGCCCAAGAGTCCTGGAATGTAAAGATGTTGGGTTACTTCAAAATTTACCTCCTCTACTTTCTATTAAATGCACAGGTAAGGAAATGAGAACATCAGAAATAAATCCCCTGGACAGGAATTTTCTTAAAGTTCCCTGGAAAGGCTACACAGTCTTTTTTGCTAGGGGAATTTTGGCGACATATCCAAAAATTTTATTTTCAACTAATAGAAGAATAGGGATTAAGAATCCATGTTAAAACTCTTGAAATATCTGCTTTCTTCCTCAGAGTCAAGCCCTCAGAACACCGCTGTGAAACTTCCATGTTAACCTCACAGCCCTTGGGATTCATTCATCAAGCACACCTAATGAAGGACTCTTTCCCCAGAGACTATGTGGGAACCTGAATTGAAAAAGGACTGAGCTTGATATTTGTTCCTACTTCTCTTGGATTTAAAAAAATGAAGAGGAGAAGTAAGATATTAAAAGGAATAAAAATGAACCCTTTAGCTTCCTCATGAATCATAGAATTAGAGATGTGATATAAATGTAATAGATCAACTTGTCATACACCTGAAATTTTACTCTCTACCCCATCTCTAATGCAGTAATAGAAGTCTCAAGAAGTTAAATAATTTGCCTCAAATTATAGGCCTCATCATTCTGATTATTGGGAATGGGTTTAATAGTTTTCTTTTTATTATTTTACAATTATATGACAGAATCATCTTTTTCTCTCATTCTTTATCTCATGCTGAAGCTGAAAGTTTTATCTCTTTTTCTAAAGCCGCAAGGTACAGAAGTGACTTCCCTTGGTCCCCTTCTGCATTGGTTCCTACAATATAAGACCTATTTTTCTTAGTGAGCAAATCCAAGTGTCACACCTATTTTTTTTTTTTTTTTTTTTAGTCTGAGTTAGATTCTTTTAGAATTAAAAGTGCATTTTGGGCTAACATCCAGAATGCCATTGCTGTTCTCAAGTTAAATAGCTCTTATATACAAAAGCATATTAACAAATTTTTTTCATTAATTTTTATTTAATTGAAAGACAAACACATGCACACGTGCGTACACTCACACACATACACACAGAGAGAGAGAAAGAAAGAGAGAGATTTTCCATCACTCTTTCATTCCATGCCAGCAGAGGTTAGGGTGGGATAAATCAGGAGCCTAGAATTAAGTCTGAGTCTACAATGCTGGTGGCAGCGATCTATGCATACAACAAATCAACTAAATTTATAAAATATAAAGCATTAGATCTAATGGAATGATATAATCTAATATAATAATAGTTGGGGATTTCCAAAACACCACTTCCATCAAAGGATAGATCATCCAAACAGAATATTAAGAAAGAAACATGAAAATTGAACCATCTCAACAAGTCTCAATAAAGTTAAAACAATCTAAATCATGTATTTTCAGACCAAGGAATAAAACTAGATTTCAACAACAAGAACAAAGGAACATTTATAAACATAAAGAAATTCAACATAATGTTCCTAAATGATGAATGGATCATTAAAGAATTTCAAAAGGAAATAAAAACATTTCTTATCGCATCTCAGCCTTTTGGCTAAGATGAAGTGTAAAACATTTCTTGAAACAAATGAAACTGAAAACACAAATATCAAATTCTGTAAATACAATACAATCAATATTGAGATAAGTTTATACCAATAAGCAAGTACATTTTAGAGATGGAATACTACCAAATCGATATCCTAACAATGCACCTCAAAGACCTAAAAAAGCAAGAAAAAAAGGAAAAACTCTTGGAATTATCAGGAGGCCAGAAATGATAAGGACCAGGGTATAAATAAATAAATCAATATGGTCATGTCAATACATGCAAAAGAAGTATTTTGATAAGATTCAACATTTCTTTTTTTTTAACTTTTATTTAGTAAATATAAATTTCCAAAGTACAGCTTATGGATTACAGTGGCTTTTCCTCCCCATAACTTCCCTCCTACCCACAACCCTCCCATCTCCCGCTCCCTCTCCCATTCCATTCACATCAAGATTCATTTTCAATTATCTTTATATACATAAGATCAATTTAATATATATTAAGTAAAGATTTCAACAGTAAAGATTCAACATTTCTTTGTGAAAAAAAATATCAAAAGTTATATATAGAAGTAATATATCTCAAAATAAGAAGGCTAAATAGGAAAAGCCCACAGTTGATATCATTCTGAATGAGAAAAATTGGAAAGCATTTCTCTAAGATCCAGAACAAAACAAGGATGCCCATATCATAGCAAGAGCAATTAGGGAACATAAAGAAATAAGGGACATCAAATTTAAAAGAAGGAGGTCAAAAGCATGCTTGCAGATGATATAAGTATACTCCACCCAAGAACAGTTATAATTGATAAGTGGATTCATTAAAATTGTAGGATACAAAATCAATGTACAAAAATCAGATTTTTATACACCAAGTCTCTTCTAGTCTCACTGGAAGAGAAATTAAGAAAGAAATTCCATTTACAACAGCTACAAAGAATTAAATATTTCAAAATAAATTTAAACAAAGAAGTGAAAGATCATTGTAATGAAAATTATGAAACACTGATACAAGAACTCATAGAAGACACACAAAAATACAAACATACCGCATGTTAATGTATTGAAATAATTAATATTATAAAATTCAGTATACTACTCAGTGCAGTCTACAGTTTCAGTATAATCCCCATGAAAATACTAATAACAGCATTTACAGAAACAGAAAATAATCCCCAACCTCATATGAAACCACAGAAGACCCACAACAACTACATCAATCCTGAACAACAACCAAAAAATATAATTATAGGCATCAAATACCTGACTTCCAAGTATCACAAAAGTTAGTATATTCTAACTAAAACTGCATGGTATTGGCATAAAAAAACAGATACATAGATAATTGGGGGCAAGTAGAGAAAGCAGAAATTAATAACCTTACATATAGTCAACTTGTTTTTGACAGAGGTGACAAGCAGATACATTGCAGAAAGAATAGTCTCTTCAATAAATGGTAATGGCATAATTGAATACACAGATTTAGAAAGCCATTATTATGAAAGAATGTGAAGTCAAAAAAATCTCCCAGTAAAAGTACAAAGAAATCCAAAATAAACAATAGGGATATTTATGAGAAAATGGCAGGGCCAATTTGTTACTTATCAATAGTAACCTTGAATGTAAGTAGCCTCAACTCCCC